GCCTGTGCTGAGGTGCCACCGCTCTGTTTCACGTGTTATGTTGCCCGGTTCCTGGCTGTCGCGGAGTCAATCGGCACATTGTGTTTGGAGAGGCGACATCTTGTACAACTTTCCGACAGTTCGGAGCATTTTATTGTACCTACTCAAGTCGCAAGAGATTAGGCTTGTGCCTTATTTGTCCTCTACCAATCTGTCCAATATGGTTTTTTATAACTACGATTTATGGTATGACATAAACCGGTATATTGTGTACGCATTTGGTTCGTTCCAGTCAGACGTTTGGAATGTGTACAGCCCTCTGCAGACTGCGTGGTAGGTATTCTTTTTCCGACAAAACTGATAATAATTCAAAAGTCATGTTATCAGTCGGTCGAAACTCACTGCAAATAGATGCGCCATGCTCCACTCCTTCGATAGGGCCTATCAATAAACAAAGCATACGCCTTGTGCGGCAACAAAATGTAAGAGTTCGTTTTGGGGGCAAATATAAACTTTTGGGTTTTGTTGCCAAACTGGATGGAAAATGCATACGATGATAATGCCTATCTAAACCGCGGAGTCTCGCGCATCTTGCTGTTACGATTTCCGAGTGCCCGATAGCATAGTATTCGCGTTATTCTCGGTTTTGTCGAAAAAAGAATACCTACCACGCAGTCTGCAGAGGGCTGTACATATACTTGTGTTACGGTACAATTTCGGTTTGTGCAGTTCACACCTCTCTTAAAGGAAATAGTTCACTTTCACGAAATTATTTTTTTTGCAATGGATTTATGATTTTTTATGTTCAAAATGATGAGCAAAGAAAATAAAACCTATTTATAACAAAAGATTATTTTCTATATTTTGATATAAGAAGAACTTTTCAGTTTCTGTAAGGCACAGGCGATCCAGTATGAAAAGAGCATGGGTTCCGAACATTCTTCAGAAACTAGAGAAATTATCGCGGCCACCGGCATTTGGGCGATCTGCTGCTGCTGAATGTCCTTATTGATCAGTACGAGAATTTCTCTTGAGTTCTCGTAGATAATTTCACTAGTTTCTGAAGAATTTTCGGGACCCATGCTCTTTTCATACTGGATGCGAATATATGCAAGGCACACATCCTCAACGCAATACACCTTTTTCGGGACGAGAAATAGAATATCTTTGCCTAGGGTGATCGTTGGGCTGTAAAAGCTCCTGATTTATGCTCGTCTCAGCCCAAGCTACGGAACTGCTATTCCAGTTCAAAACCCATGTTAAAAAGTGAACTATTTCCTTTAATTATGGGGCGAAATAGACGCAAAACCAGGGCTGCGGAGTCGGAGTCAGGGTCGACAGTTCTGACCGGACTCGGAGTCGATTTTGGAAACCGAGTCGGAGTCGGGGTCACCGAAAATCCATCGGCTCCGCCAGGGCTGCGGAGTCGATGGATTTTCGGCGACTCCGACTCCGACTCCGACTCCGACTCCGGCTTTAAAAAACCAGCTCCGACTCCGACTCCGGCTTTAAAAAACCAGCTCCGACTCCGACTCCGGACAGAATTGTCGACTCCGACCAACTCCAACTCCCGGCTCCGACTCCGCAGACCTAGCAGGGCTGCGGAGTCGACATATTTTCGGTGACTCCGACTCCGGCTTGGGTTTCTAAAGTCGACTCCGACTCCGACTCCGGTCACAACTGTCGACTCCGACCGACTCCGACTCCGACTCCGCAGCCCTGGCCGCTCCGCAGATCTGGCAGGGCTGCGGAGTCGGAGTTAGAGTCGGTCGGAGTTGATTACCCAGCCCGGAGTCGGAGTCGGAGTTGGTTTTTGGAAGTCGCGGTTGGAGTCAGAGTCACCAGAAATCCATTGACTCCGAAGCCTGGCGCAAAACTATGGCGATTTTCATCTACGAGAGAGCCGCCGATGTGCTGGCCGGATCACCGGCGGGGCGCACGTTGGCTCGGTCCGATCCCAATAATGTCGCCATATCTTTGGTTCGAGTAACAGCTGGTCCTGATTTGCTTCGCTGAGGAAACATCACACCGTTCTGCCTTGCATCGGACATCAAAACTGCACTAAAATCCGCTGAAAACGTATTTAAACGTCCGTCCTCCATAATGGCTACGGACGGCGGCCGGCGAGTTACCATCCCAGTGACGTCATTCGGGCCCGGTAGGGGGACGGTAAAAAAAAGCCTGATGACCATACCTGGTTATATGGCCTTGTTTCGGCCGTTGGTCTCCGAGAGAGGATGTGAGCAGTGTCGGTGCGGCGCGACGTGACCGTTGGTGATTGTGCTTGTGTGTTGTTCATCGCCTATAGAGCCTCTGTGGGCATTTTATTGTAAGTACCGATGTGCTAGAGCATTGCGTGCCGTTGAGTGGTGCTAATTTGACCTGGTCAACAGGACCCCGTGCACGGCCACGTGGCCTAGTGCTGTGAGTACGTACATTAATTTTGTTGTGATGCTACAAGTTTATGCATTGTGTTGGTGACTTTGAAAAAGCCTTGCACTGTAGTGATCCAGTCTCATTATCTCACGCAGACGGGCGACCACCCAGGAACGCCGTCGCTCACTTCAAATATTTGCGCTGTGCCTTATCCAATATGAGGGCGCTGAATGTCTTGTATTCATATTCAAATTGCATTCAAGTTGTATCGTGGTGTTTATTTACCGCTTGTGCATTGCTGAACGCTTTGTATAAATTCGTATGAATAATTGAAGAGTCTCACAATGTTCATGGCTGGTGTGTCCCTCTTATTGTTTGTACGGAAGCCAAATATACATTGTTGCTCTTGAAGCATGTTTTTTTAGTTGGTGAGCTCCGGTTAACAGAAGCTTCGTGAAGCTTCTGAAGGAAGCGTCTGTGAGTCTGTGACCATCCTCTGGGGGGTTTACACTAAAGGAAAGAGTAAGCATTACCATGTGACAAAGGGTAGGCCAGAAGAATATACTCTCTGTAGGAGGGTAAAGCACAGAGTAGATGATGCGTTACTCCCTAGAAAAGGGTTCCGTTAAAGATTTACCCTTTCAAAGAGTGTAACCCAAAAAATGTTACACTCTAGACAAGAGTAAATCAAAAGAGTTTACCATTCAGAAGATGGTAAAAAACGTCTGTGTGTCATGTTACCCCTCCCTGGCGAGTTTACTCTTCATGAAAGAGTAAAATTTACCATCTAGAAGGTGGTAAAAAACGTCTGTGTGTCAAGCTACCATGCTATGGCGGGTTTACCCTTCAGGAAATGGTAAAAAAGTTTTCAGTGCTCGATATGGCCACGCCGCGCCGCTCGAGCACTGATCAGCACCGCTCGGCGCGGCCGCTGGCCCGGTCGGTCAGTTGGCCGACGGCGCCGGTCGTCGGGCGGTCAGCGCAGACGCCTGTCCGCCGCCCGGACAGGCAGACAGGCGGGGGCGGGGCGGCAGAGCACGGCCCGGTGGCCCTCCACCCTGACGCTGGCGGCCGAGGGCGGTTTGTCTCAGCGACGATCTGCCGACTCATTGTCGCACTCACAAGATGCTTACCTCCGGCCGGCGGCGCGCACCGCCCCGTCAAGTGGCCGCGCCCGTCGGTGCCCCTATTCATCTCTCGGATACTGAGTTGAAGTCTGTGCACCCTCCCTCTCCGCTGTGTACATCCTACGAACCACGCAGTACGCTATTTGGCGCTTCTGTCCGCCACCCGAGATCGCACCACGCTGATACAGCAGCTGATCTGACGTGCGCACAGAGCCACAGGTGGGCCGGAGACGCTCATTAGTGCTGGAACTGGCACCAATTATCCGCCCGGACGGCACACGACGGCGCGGAGGGAGCCGCACGCCTCCCACCGCCCACCGTCGACCGTCCACCGTCCGTCAGCCCCGCACCGTCCGAGGACCGTCCGAGGGCCGTCCGAGACAGCGGCGTCAGTCAGAGCAGGCCATTACCGCGAGACTACAGAGACGGAGCGACGCGAGATTAGGCGACAGACGCCCAGCGCAAGCCCATGGCATTTGGCTCCCTGTGTCGGTGCGCGTCGGAATGTCTGACGACGAGCTGTGTCACCGGGAAAAGCAGCGCTAGAGCCAAGTTCGAACGACGAACCATGAGCTGATCGACATCAGGCGCCGGGCGTGGGTTTGAAACGAGCGGAGAGAGTCGCATCATTCAGCTGGTCACCCAACGGTCTCTGCCTGTCCGGCCCCGCACGCCCAGTCCCTGCAGCGCCATTCACACCTTTGTGATGCCCGTCGCGGGCCCGACACTTTATGAAGCGGTTTCGGGGCGCCCGGCTCCGGCGTCCATTGATGCCTGGGTAGAGAGAGGGCGGAAAGAGGGCGGGGAGAGGGCGTGAGGGGCGACAGGCGTCTGTGTATCGAACAGGTCCCACTCTGAGCTCCCAGCACCCAATGTCAATGGACGCAGCTCTGGTGGAACTGAGGCGGCCTCAGCTCGGCGCCGGACTAGGATAGTGCGGCCCTGTGCGGCGTGTAGACGGCGCTGGCCGCAGCAGGCGGCCGCTGCACCTCCTGCCGGGCGCCACAGAGCCGCCCTGAGCCACTAAAGGTGTGTTTATACCCGGCTGGGCGGCCAGGCCGGCCGCACCAGAAGCTCTGCTTATGACGGCGAGCCGCTCAGCGCCAGCCGAGTTCCAGCCCAGAAGTGTTATGTAAACACTCGCCGAGTGGTGGAGCGTGGCACTTAACACGCGCCCCGGTCCGGCATGGCTCGCCGCCGCCGCTGTGTTTGCGCCAGCTGGTGTGTACGCTCCGTGAAGCTGCACTGGTCTGCAACGGCTGTTGTTGCACGCTGCTGGCTTTGTTTACACGTGTTCAGCGCTGTTTTACACATCCGTACGAATTCACGATGTGCATAACCGTTATGTGTGCCTGATTCACTTAATTTACATTGATGTCAGGAGATAAGTGATAATTATGGCAAACTACGACCCATACCAAAATTTTTTGTTCATCGGCTGCAGAAAAGACAACAACGTTTGTAAACCAGGCCTCCGTTTGGGGCAGTGCCATTGCAGTAACGCCAGCAGGTCCTCACCTTTGACGGCGACTGCCGGTGCGACCAGCAGCACCAGCAGCAGCAGACAGACGGCACTGCACGTCGGGCAGGTCACTCGGGTCACTCGGCGTCCGCCCATGGCCGGCCCAGGTCAGCAGCGGGTCGCAGCCGCTTCAATACATCACCCGCTCCGACCCTGCAGCACACAGAGAACAACACTCAGACAGGGCTGTACGGCTCGTAATGGGCGCATTACACAGTCAACACAGACCCGTGCAAATCAACATGTCTTTAGCAATGGATTATTATAGGTTGCACACAAATAAGGGCAGTTGCACGCTAGTCGGGATATTGACGGAAGTAATTTCCATATATGACGCTACGTTTCGTGACGGTTGGACACTGAACCTCGTCACACCTATGGCTTCGTAAGCCGCTTAAAACCACCGCACCTCCGCAAGCCCTCCGTCACGAGCACATCGCGCCCTGGCCGGAAACGGCCCTATGTCGCATGTCTGTTCCCGGCCTTCCCCGCACCCTACCGGGCTCTCTCGCGACCAATGCGCGTTCCTTCACCCCACGCCGCTTGTGCCGGCGCGACAAAACCGCTTACGGGGTGCGCATAAGAGGATCGGCACCCATCGAGCGCCGACTTAATTCGTACACAGTTTCCCGGTGATAAAGTGACTGTCGCGGGAGCCGCGAGATGCGACATTGCTCTCAGCAGAGCCGTGTATGCGTAATTTGACAGCTCACGTTTACATCCCGATAGCGTGGTCGTGATAGATAAACGGATGCTGCTGCAGCCTCGTGTGCCTGACAGGTAAGAAGTAACTTTAGCTATCATCAAAGGATGTCATTTCCTGTTTGGGCTGAGGCTGCTGATACACGATAATTTTTATCTACAGGAATGAGACAGGAAACATATAAAATTGGCCATAACATTGTATTTTAAATGGTTCGAATTAGAGCAATATGCATGTCGTTATTATGCGAAAAATACAAATAAAAACAATGGATATGAAGAATCAAAACTCAAAAGTATAGGTATTTAAAACGCATGCCTATTGGTACGTTTATGCACCGTTATTCAGTAGTCACTACAAGATGCAAGATGGTGGTTGCATTTACATACGAACTTACGTCTTCTTTATCTTGTGTAATGGTGCACCCACGTGAAGGCACCTTTCAACAGTGGCGCGACTCCGCCGTTTATTTCTCCGCATTCCACTACACAGCGATTCACTGCCGCCGCATGTAAAACACAATAAATTTTCATGAGACCTTATGAATAAAATGCTAATTTTCACCAACTGTCTACTGAATGTCGAGTCGACCTCAGTCCCTGACCATGTCATCGTCCAGCGTGTCCATAGCGCACCAGTCGCCGGACTATAAAAAGACGGCTGCCAAGTTTTTACCTGGAATCCAATCATTCACACCAACTGTCACTTTTCGAAAAATAAACAACATAAAAAGCTCAATCGTATGCACATTCAGCCATCCCCGCCCATATCCGTTTCACACCGATCACCGGTGGCCCAGCCGGCTGTTTTACCTGGACTGCTCCAGTTCCCATCACTTCCCACGGGCGGGCCGTGCCCAGAACGAGGCCCCTCCGACCCTATGTGGCTCGTTAAACCGGCAGTGCCAGCGTGCGGCCGGTAACGAGGCCCGCCGCGCCCGCCGCCACCTGCGGTGGCCCTTTTTACGACGGCTGCATTGTTGGCCGGACCGCGCCGTTCATCTCTGTCGCCGACTCGGGCGTTTTTCACCGGCCAGCCACGTCGCCCGGGCAGCCGTGATCGCCACTCTATGGCCGGCCCGTCCCGTTTGTCTGTCTGTCTGTCTGTCTCCGGCCGTCCGTCCGTCCGTCTCCGTCCGTCTCTCGGTGTCTCTATCTGTCTCCCGGGCCGTCCGTGACCGCCCGTCGACTCGCTCGTTCGTCCGGTCAATGGCGGCCGTTACGGCGCCGGAGTTTTTCTCCGATCCCAGATAGGATGGTGCGCCAGCTGTGCAGACAGCCGACGCTCTCTCTCGATAGTGCCATCCTGACCGTGGGAACCGGGTACGGACGCCACCTATCTGACACGGGGACGACATTGATCATTGCAGGCGGCTGATCGGGGGCCCGAGTCGTGGCTCTCCTGAATGGTGACGCTATCTCGCCATGCTCCGATACGTTCGTTCATCATGAGTCGGCGCAGATAAATCCGCGCCCGACCGAGGCGATAGTCGTTTGATGTAACTAATGAGCAGTGACGGCCGCGGCCGCCATCAGATACACCCGCAGTCGCCGGTCACGCTGTCAGTATTGCATGCGGTATTCCGTGTCCGACCACATGTCTTCCTTATCTCGCGTCTGCTCAGACAAGCGTCGGTCTATATCGATGCGGTTCGTCGACTTCATTTGACGTTCAAACCAGCCGAGTCTTTAGCTTGAGGTTTATAACCCGGCGTTGGGGAGTTCACTGACTGGTTTCTGCTGTGACGGTGTCCTGCCCCGCCCGGTTAGCCGGTGTTCAGAGGACAGCGCACCCACTCCACAGCTCGGGGCGTGTGCAGCACGCAGGTATGTAGCCCGTCGTCTCGGGTACCGGGCTGGTAGGGAGGGAGGCGGCCCCCTGCCGACGGCGGGCGGGCCGCGCGGCGGGGGAGCTCAGGGGAGCGCACCCGGCCGCCATCCATCGTGGCTCGTACCTGGCCGCTGCCAGCCGGACAAGATCTCCTGATCTGGGGGTGACGCTCCCCGGCGCCCTCCCGCCGGCCCACGAAAAACAAACTGCCAGCCGCGGGACGCGCCCGGCCGGCCGGGGGTGCAGGCGTCGCGTGCGGCCGCCGCTCGCCTGCGCCGCGCCGCTGGTGACATGAAGCCATCGCGATGAGGCTGGTACGATGCGCCGCCAGCAGGCGATCCAGATGCAGCCGCCGGCGACGTCTGCCGATCGGGACTCGGCCGCATGCAACCACCGGCCTGCGCTCGTCTGATACAGAGCGATAACGGCGCTGACTGCGGGCCGGCCTCGTAATTACCCGGCCCGCGGCGCTCCCAGCCCGAACAAGTCAATTTTCGGAGCCATGGCTCTCAAAGAGGCGGTCTGCAAGTGCGGCTTCTTGAACATAACCACCCAGCTCGGCTGATCGCCTTACGGCCGCGCGGCCAGTTCGGCGTTTCCCGGAGCCATCCCAAAATACCCGGCACGATGGCATCTGGGCACCGGCATCAGATGCCGGCCCATGTGAGCATGGTTAATGACCGCCGATGTGAAGATTGCCCGTCCAAATGTGAGCCTGCACGTGATGTTCACAGTCTCATTACGCCGGCGATTACCGCAAACGGTCTGCAGCGGGGTGCATCGCTATCCGCTGATCGCGCGGCGCGAGTGGCGACCGCCGGCGCCCGTAAATCGCGGCCTCGGCGGCCTGTCGTAACCGCCGCCGCCGCGTCGGTATGTCATAAACAAACAGCGTGCGCTGTGCCGGTTCCGGCTCACTCTGCGGGCGGTGCGCCGACCGATGGCGGCCGCCGACGCTCCCAGCGACCTCCCGGTGCCCCGGCCGTCGTCAAATGAGCACGGGCACGGTGACCTGTGCTCCCAGACGCTCCACTTCGTGACCGAGTCGGCCACTCCATCCGCGCTCGGACCACACTCAACGAATGCGCTCGGCGCCCGCTCCGTGCTCTGTTCGCCCATCTCCGGGCTCATTCCGTGCTCTACATCCTGATGAACTATACGACCATCAGCACGGTTTATCGCAATACTGAGCCGCTTGTCCATGGACATCATGTGCCCCATCAAACTCCGCCTGTGTTTAAACAGCGACCGCCATTTTTCAAGAGTGAATATATGATTCACTCTTGAAATGACGATGTGAATATATGACAAGCTGCACGCATAACCAGCCGGCCAATCAACCCAAGAGCCGGTCATTCTTTTAGTGCTGTTTACAAATTCGCTGGTTCGCGTATAGCCTAGTCAGAGTGTGGGGACCTACCACCACGCAGCCCGTCACAAATTAAACACAGGCTCGTAATCCTCGCCGTTATACGCTAACGGTAACATAACAGAGCGAGTTATCGCTCTCGCACACCCCCAAGCTAATTACGGGGCTGTTTAATTAAGTCTGCGGGGAAAACGCTTGCGAGTAGGGCGCCGCCATACCTTTGACTGACAAGGAGCAGGCAAAGTCAAGAAGAAGAAATATTTGCCACCAATGCAATCTACTAACGAGCAAGTGCGGCACTAAGTTTGAATAATCTAGTAGAAGAGATAAACTATCGCGATTGAGCGGTAAATCGCTATCTCAAATTTCAGTTTCAAGCACTCTTATTTTTCTGGAAAAAAATATAACAGGATAGGTAGACGTAGTCGCCATGGTTCCAACCGATTTGCTGAATCAGAACATCACCAAAGAAATTAATGCGTTTACCCAGCGTTTACCATAATCATTATCGACTGGGCTCTGAAAAACTCGGGCCGTCCGCGGCGAATCGACGTGGGAGGCGAACCAACCGCGAATGTGGATGGGATCGCCGCCGCCTTCTGACGGATAACCAAACGGATCGAGCCGCCGATGAGGCGTCGGACTGTGCCGATGACGGATCGGGTAAAGCCGCCGCACGGCCGCACGTGAGACTGATGACGCCAGCCTGACGTCACGCTCGATGACGGACGGGGCCGCGGGGGCGGGGCGGTGACGGACGATTACCGCCTGCCGCCGGCCGCCGATGACGACTCTATCTCGGCCGCTGAAATCGGTACTGCACTCCCAGCTGCCTGTATAGACTGGGCACTGGTCGGGCTCTGTCTGGCCGCTCTCTGCCGTCCCTGCCCGGCCGACGCACAGCGTCCACCGGGCCGGGACCCTATCGCTCCATCGGGGACGCGGCCGTCCGCGCGCCGGCCGCACCTTTTTATACGCGGCGCCGCGCCGGCGGCCGGTCGACCGGCGGCCTTCGCTGTCGAGCGCGCACCACCGGGGCCGGGGCGACTCCCCCGCGTCGCCTGTCGCACAAGAATCTCACTCCAATCTGGAATTAATCCGACGAATAAAAGAAGGGCGCGCGGCAGAGACTCGAAACTCGCAGCGCATTAATTGAGTGAGCGAGGGTCGCGCGGCGGCTCAGCGCTGAGTGTGTGACTCAACACGAGGGGCGACGGTGAGAACCAAGAGCTGCAGGCATCTGGGACCAGT